AGGCTAATATGTCTGCACCAGACTCTGTGTTATTGATTTCCCCGTGGTGGCGGGCCAGCTGTTCTCTGGCCAAACCCAGCAGCCACGGGGTTCTCTGTACTCACCAGAGTCCGGTGCAAGTCCTCGTTCCGGGACCGCCGCACACCAAGCTGTCCACTTTTCCCCGCACTCCCAGGATAGCGCGGGGCGGTGCACAGCGTGCGCTCCCAGTACAGTGCTGACCGGTCAGATATCTGTGCACCGTTTAAATTTGAAATGCCCGCGCTTTGTACATCCGCTCTGGTGCAGCGGTGCAGACTTGGCTGCTACTTGGAGTCTCGGTCCGTTTCCCGCAGTCCCCAAAAGCAACTCAGCTTTTCGTGCTGAGTCCACGAGTCTGTTTGTTGATTTAAGGGCACGAGATTTGCAGCCTCCCGTTGTCGGCAAAGGTCTCAGCGCGACTTTAAATCCTCCAGCTGTACTGTCTTGGTTAATAAGAATCACTATCGATTTGTCTGGTCCTCTCCATGCTGTCTTTTTTTAGCTTCGAGTTTGAATTCTCTGGAGAGACTCTTCGCTCGATCCCCTAGCCAGCTGCCATTTTCAGAATCCTCCTCAATCTCTCTTAATGAGAACCACGGGGTAGTATCTGGTCAGATTGGTTATTTGTAACCCCTACGTAGATATTTTTAAAATAATGATGAAAGGCAGACCTTTGAAAGAAGGATGACCAAAGTGGGGCTCCAAAAAATTACCTAGCACCCCTTTTCATGATTATTTGGTTTTCCAGGTTTTTCCATAGCAGAATATATTCTTACAGCTTAGAATATAAAAAAGAAAATAAATATCTTGCCTGAGAATTTTTCAAGGGAACGCTTAATCAACATCCTAATTTTGTTGTTGTTGTTGTTGTTGTTGTTTGTTTGTTTTTGAGACAGAGTCTTGGCATGTAGTTCCGACCAATTTTGAACTTACTCTGTAGCCCAGGCTGGCTTAGAACTCATGGTGATCCTCCTGCCTCAACCTCCCAATGCTAGGATTACAGGCATGCACTACCCCACCCAGCTAAAATCCTAATTCTTTTTTGCTTTTTTTTTTTTTTTTTTTGTCTTTTTCCTTTTTATCAGTACCAGGGATCCAACTCAACGACTGCCTGCTTGCGAAGCAGGCGCTTATGCCGCTGAGCTAAATCCCCAGCCCCCTAAAATCCTAATTTTTAATGAGATCAGTTTTCAAAAGGGAAAAACATATTATACAATTATACAATGAATTGTATAGGGAAGATTATATGTAATGTAATATATAGCAGTTCATAAAAACAATTTTAGAGAGTCTTATTCTAATCTCAAACTTTTATTGATTTTACATATATTAGTCCAAAAAGAATCATTATATATAATAAAAAGTTAGTATCTATACTTTGTAGGCTTAGTATGTATTGTCAGGAAATTTATTTACTGTTTGGAAATTCAGTACCATAAGAAAAGAAAGTAAAGAAGGAGGAGGAGAAGTTACAAAAATCTGTGAAGGCTAGGTATGGTGGTACATATCTATAATCCCAGCGCTCAGGAGGCTGAGGCAGGAGGATTGTCTTGAGTTTCAGGCCAGCTTGGACTACACAGCTAAACCCTGTCTCAGGAGAGATAGGGTGAGGGGAAGTCTGTGATCAGGATAAGACAAGTTTCAGCAAGTTTTTTTATCACAGCGGATGGACATGTAACTGACAAATTGTGATACACAAAAAGTACTGTACTGCATTATAAGAGAAAGGAGAGAGTAAAATGAAGGCATCCAGTTAGCCTGATACATTTCCAAACAAAAATATCCCTAGGAGAAAAGTTAAAATTTGAAAATGAGTAGTCAAGAAAGCATTCATGAAAGCTTTCTCAAGAAAACAAGGGCTGGGGATTTAGCTCAGCGACATAAGCACCTGCCTTGCAGCCCAAGGTCATGAGTTCAATCCATGGTACCAATTTAAAACAGAAAACATTAAATTGTTTTTCTGCCTGTAATGCAGGGCTGGGGGTTTAGCTCAGCGGCATAAGGGCCTGGCTGGCAAGCGGGAGGTCAGGAGTTTGATCCCCCTTACCAAAAAAAAAGAAAAGAAAGTTGAACACCTGTAATGCAAGACAGCAATACGCTAGCCCTCTGGGTCTAATGAAAGTCTTCTGTTTGTCTCCTTGGTGGTCTTTCTTACATCTATCATTCTATTGTGAGAAATAAGGTTCTTTCCGTAATTTAATTTCTTTCCCAGGATGACGACGTGAAGTCTAATGTCTGTTTGCTGAAGTGCTATAGGCTTGCTCACGTCCAGTTCCCTCTCCTTCCAGGCTGCTGGAAGAGGTTAGAATGTCGCCTGGGTTACACTTGCAGTTTGCTTTACAGAGCTTCATACCACACAGGCAAAGTTATCTCCAGGGCTTTTGCAAATTTAGGTCAGAAGTTTAAAGCTCAAATCCATTTGTGTTTGCAAGTGTTCCCTGCCATATCTTCAGCCCCAGAGGCTGTACTTATCAGGCTGGGCTGATGCCATAGTAAATAACTCCTCAACAGCCAGGGCTTAACACATCTAAGTTTCTCTGGCACTCATGAGACTCTCAAACAAATGTTCCCCATCACTGAATCGAGGGTGGGGGTAGAAAGGACAGGCTGCCTGCTATCTTCAATATCTGGCCTCTGAAAGTACTTTGCCGCAGTCTCCACTCCAGCCAGCCTTCTAGAAATGAAAAAGCAGGCACTGATAGGAGCTGGGATACAGTTCTGAGCCAGGCATTGATTACACTTGGTGTCTTCCATTGGTCAAAACTGAGCTGTGCGGTTACACCCATCTGCAAGGGAGGCTGGGAAGTGTAGTCCATCTGTGTGCTCAGGCACAGACTTAAATGAAGAAAAGATAATGTGGTCGTCGCCCTTTGATCTTGCACTCTTCACTCAAATTTGATGATTTTGTTACAGTCTTCTTTTTTTTTTTTTTTTTTTTTTTTTGCCTTTGTAAAAAGCTGATAATGTCCCCCAAACTTCGTGTGTACTGAGCACCTCAATTACTAAAAAACTCCAGATGAAATCCCCTGGGCTTAGGGAGGCCCCAATCAAAGCAGCGGTACCCTTGTGCCAGGAACGGACACAGATGCAGGGTCCACATGGAGGCGGAGGCAGGGCTTGTGGGGGCGCTGCCCAAGCTGAGATCAGAAGCCAGGAAGAACTCTCCAGAGCCTTACGGGGACACGTGGTCCTGCGATGCCTTGATCCAGAATTCCGGCCTCAGAACAGAGAAAATAATGGTCTGGTCTCTTGAGCCACTAGGTTTGGGGTGATCTTTGTGACACCCCTGAAACCCACGCCGCCTTCCTCCGCTTTTCACCTGCGCTGCACCAGATAGGATGATTTTACCCATCAGGGTGTCCTCACACCTCTGAGGTCACGAGGCGTGGGGCCACCCATCCGGATGGCCCAGCCCTGATCTGCTTTCTCCAAGTCCTGATGAGCCATTGCCCTGCCACCAGCAGGAGGGGACAAGGAGCTCCCAGCGCCACCCCTGGCCTGCTGGCCCCCACAGCTCACACCGCCCCAGCCCCGTTGTCTCAGGCAGCTGGACACCCTCTGTGGCTAGGACTCTTCCTCCCCTCGTGCCCCTCGGTCCTGCGGGAAACCAGACTCATTACCCCAAGCCATGTGGGACCCACCCACTTACCGCATCTTGTAGGAAGTTTCTACTTCCGGGTCAGATGATTTCCCCCAAACCCCTGAGTGTAATGCGATAATAGTTGTCCCTTCTTAGCTACCATATGTCAAAGCGTATCCGAGGCACTTTACGCAGATGGGTTTCTTTAACGTGAAGACCTTCCTGAGATGCCTAATCACTCCCATTTCACAGAAGAGGAAACTGAGATGGAAGAGGAGTAGTAACTTGATTAGACCCTCAGCCTGGACAGAGCAAGAGTCAAATCCAAATCCACACTGAGAGTTTATTCTCTCCACTCCATTTGTTTTCGTGGATGTTTTGAAAAAGTCCTGATAGGCTGGGCATGGTGGCATGTGCCTATAATCCCAGCACTCAAGAGGCTGAGGCAGGAGGGTTGCTGTGAGTTTAAGGCTGGCCTGGTCTACATAGTGGATTCAAGGCCAGCCTGCACTACATAGTGAGGTCTTGTCTCAAAAAACAACCAAAAGTAATTGACAATAGTAAGACACCAGGAAAACATGGAATAAATGCACTTTTAAAAAGTACTGAAACCATGATGGTACACATCTGTAATCCTTGCACTCAGGAGGCTGAGGCAGGAGGATCATTGTGAGTTCTAGACCAGCCTGGGCTACAAAATTAGTTCAAGGCCAGACTGAACTGCATAGTGAGACTCTGTCTCAAAAAAACACCAAAAAAATAATTAATTAATTAGTTAGTTACAATATATTGTTTCAGGAAAAAAGAGAGCAACTTTGGGTCAAAAGAAAGGAACTATATACTTTAGTTAATAATAAATAATGGATCAGCCTGAACTACATAGTGAAACTCTGTCTTAAAAAGACAAAATAATAATAATAAACGTATCAGTATTGGTTCATTAGTTGTGACAAACATACCACAGTAACATAATGTATAAACAATCAGAGAAACTGGGTTTATGAGATCTCTCTGTACTATCTCAGTAACGTTTATGTCATTGTAAAACTATTCTAAAATTAAAAGCTTATTTTTGAAAAGCATACGCTTACATGCCAAGTTGGTAATGACAGAATTTCCACAACATGGGACTTCATTTTTTTGGCTTAAATCTGAAGTACTAATTAGATTAAATTAAGGCTCTTAATGAATTAGATAAATTAAATTAGAATAAATTTTCCTATATTTAGTCTGTTGGCCAAATGTCCTTGATTTCAGCTCTTAGTATGGATTTGTTCATGGAAATTTCTTAAAGGAGTAAACAGACAGAACTGGCATCACGGATCTGAAATACAACCACGGTTCTCGGATGTTCCTGCCTTTAAAGGTGGGTTGTAAAAGGCATGTGGCTAGGTCTCTCTCTCTTTCTTTCTCTCTCTCTCTCTCTCTCTCTCTCTCTCTCTCCTTCTCTCTCTCCCTCCATCTTTTCCTCCCTCTCTCCCCCCTCTCCTCACAGGGAAGCCAGCTTCCATCTGTAAGGACAGGTGAGCCTCTCTAAGGTCTGCGTGGTGAAGACCCCGCCTCCTGCCTGCAGCCCTGTCTGTGAGCGCACCCTCCTGGAAGCAGTCTCCAGTGAGTGAAGACTCCGGGTGACAAGCCCCCGCTGACATGACTACAGCCTCATCAGAGACTCAGAACTAGAGCCACCCAGTAAAGGCATTCTCAAATCCCTGCCCCACAGCAACTGCATGAATTGAGAGCTCTTTGCCCATACATTGGGGTAACGTCCTAGGCCACATAGACAACTCTGTAATCCACCAGCAACTTCACCTCCACTGCAGACAGTGCACCCTTGTAAGCCCCTAAGTACGTCCCCAAATGGGGCCACTGTAGACACTTCAGTCAGTGTATCTGGCTTCCTACTGCTGCTATAACAAATTACACAAATTTAGTGGCTTAAACAATACAGTTATCTTCACTTCTGGAGGGCAGAAAGAGAGCTGTGTGGGATGAAAATTGAGGTGCCCAGAGGGCGATTCCTCCTGGAGGCTCCACAAGAAACTACCTTGGTTTACGATCTTCATCCTCAAGCCAGAAATCACACATCTCTGACACTGGGTTAGTCAGTTTGCCACTGCTGTGACAAAACACCTGATGTAAATAACCCTAAAAGGTGCAAGGTTTCCTGATGAATGTTGGCTCAGTCCACGATGATTCCGTGCGCTGCGTTTAGGCCAGTGATAAGGCATAAACACCATGGCAGGAGGGTAAGGGAGGAAAGTTGTTCACCTTACAGCAGCCAAGAAGCAGGAGAGGGAATGAGCCAGAAAGAACAGGTCAGAGGCCAGATGCAGTCCCCCAGTCACACCACCATGACCAGTATCATCCGGTTAGACCCCACCTCCTAATGCGCCCCACAAACTATGAATTCTTTAATGGATTGATCTCTTGATGAAGTTGGAACCTTCATAATCAATTGCTTCCCAAAATTCCATCAGCTGGAACTAAACCTGGACCACATGGCCTTCGGGGGACATTCCCAATCCAAAGCACACTTCCATGTTGATCTGCAGCTCCCCCTCCTGCTTCTTCCACTTGCAAAGAAGCTCGCAATCGCAGCGGCCTCACCGGTCACGCAGGCCAAGCTCGCGTCTGGGTGGGTTGGCTTCACTGGCCTGCAGCCTCGGCGGCTCCGAGCTGTGGGGATTAAGATGCAGCGTCTCTGGGAGCCGTTATTCACCTGCCACTGTCAGCTGGTGAACCCCGTGCCCCTCCTCAGGAGAGGACTCTTTCAAATGCATAAAATAATTTACGTGTGATGATACTGGGAATGATTCCCACAGGATGCAGCTACCAAAGTGCTTTCAAAGCAAATCAGTACCAGTTCATAAGATCCCCTTTGAACGACTGACAAACACGCTCTAACTCTAAATGTATCCTTAATTTCAAGTGGAGATAAATATATAAATGATATTCTGAAGTCGCCTGCAATCAAGTGATATGAAAATCTGCAATTTCTCTTGGTGCCGTAGTCCCAAGTACCATGACCACTATGGTTCGTTGCCTACATCTACAATTAAAAAGAACGCTAATTTTTTGCTAGAGATTAGTGATTTTCCTAGGCAAAATCACTGCGAAGTAGGCATAAGACCTGTTGAAAATCCTGGTGGAATCAAGGCATTTACTTAATTTTTAAGAAAATAAGTAAATAAATAAATTTAAATAAAATAAAACAAATAAGTTAAAACAGAACTCAAATCCTCAGGAATTCCGCCCTTTTCAAGCCCATTCAAATCCTGCACCGGAGCTACACACCTACCATGCACGGAGAGTTGCGTATGCCCAATCAAGGCAAAGAAAACAACAAAAGTGATAGAAATAAAGATCCCAAGAATTTATAGAGAAAACTCTGCCCTGTGGCTTAAAAACGGACACATTTATGTTCCAAATCCACTGAAATCAAACCGCGGTGGGGCGGGGGTTCACGCGTCCGTGTACAAGGTTTCCAACGTGGCAACAGCGACATCTAGTGGGAACTCTGGGTAGCGCACCGGGCCGCGCCACAAACTGCCGAGAAGCAAAGGTCCAGCGCTGCCGCAGGCAGGTTTATGTCAGGGGCTGGCAGCCACCGTGGTCATCTCCCACCCAGGTCCACTCAGCAGCAAGCGAGGCTTCATCACGTCCCCCTCGGCAATTCTGGAGAATGAATGCCTCCCCAAGCTCGGAAAGCGGGTCCTGGAGAAGAGGCAAGCTGGGGGGGGGGGGGGCTGGCCAGGGGACCCTGGTGGCCGAAGCAGGGCCTTGGCACCGAGCTCCTGTAAGGACGAAGAACTGCCCTTCCCTGTCCTTTTCCCGACGTCCTGGTTGGGATGATTTTCACGATGGGAGCAGTGGTTTGAACATGCACGTGGCCAAGTTGAAGAGGACAGAGGCTGCCCGAGACTGGTTCTGCATTTGAGAAGAGCTGGGCGACAGGGTTTCGGTCACGCGACGTCTGTCCGAGGCCATGAGGTCACCGCTCACTCAGATCCGAGCACGACGCCTCGTGCATGCTCATTGAAATGCCATGCTGCACCCCGAGACGTGCAGCATCACCAGGAGTCAGTTCAGAACAGAAGTTTACTAAATGAATAGCGACCTACGCGGGAGAAGAGGAAGAGGAGACGGGTCAACTGCGGTGAATGAATATATGAAAAAATGTTCAACCCCATTGAACATTGGAGAAATGCAAATTCAAACAACACTGAGATTCCATCTCACCCCAGAAACAAGGGCTATCATCAGGAAATCAACCAATAACGAAGGGGTTATGGGGAAAAAGGAACACTTTTCCCCTTTTAGTAATAGTGCAGACTGGTGCAAGCACTGTGGAAATCAGTGTGGAGATTCCTCAGTAAACTACTATTAGATATTCCATTGAACCCAGCTATTCCCCTCCTTTGGTTATCTCCCCAAATGAATTTAAAACATCACACCACAGTGATATATGTGCACCCATGCTTATAGCAGCACAATTTGTAATACCCAGATCTTGGAAACAACCTAAGTGTCCATCAGCTAAGGAATGGATAAAAAAGATGTGGTATTTTTATACAATGGAGTACTATTCAGCCATAAACAGTGATAAATTCGAGGCTTTTATAAGTAAATAGATGCAACTTGAGACCATACTCATAAGTGAAATAAATCAGACTTGCATGTGTAAGCATGTGTATCACTAATGTAAGAAACTGAGTCAATAAGATCCAAAAGTTACAATAGATACAGTAAAAGGGAAAGAAATTGCTCAAAGGGAAATTATATTGTTTGATCAATTTTGGATGCCTGTATCTAGTAACCTGAGCAACTATTTTAAAGATAACAATATGCAGTATAACAACCATTGTTAAATTCCTGTCATCTTGGTTTAAAATCCTGTATCACTATTGTTTTTTGTTGTTGTTTGTTTGCTTCTTGATTTTTCTGGGATTTTTTTTTTCTCTTTAAAATAAAGTTAAAAAATAAAAAGTTTGTGTCCCAGAAACATAATCCCCAAATGCATGTATGAATGGTCCTTGGCTATGTAACCTTTGGGAGATAGATTTTGACTGGATAAAGTCATCAGACAAGGGTCCCCCACCCCACCCCCATGTGACACCAGTGATATTCTCAGAGCAGGCAGAGACATCGGAGCCCAGCCGGCCTGCAGTCTCCAAAGTGCTGGCCTCACCTGCAACAGCACAGCAACAGGCCTCAGACTTCCCAGCCTCCGCAACTGTGAGCTGAGTAATTATCTATTCTATCTAATTTATGTAATCTCCGGTATTTAACTAGAGCAACAGAAAATGGACAGAAGCAATGCTCTCATTAGCCAGGGCCTTAGGAATCCTGATCACATATCTTTAAAATCCCTCAGGCCAGGCATTTTGGCACATGCCTGTGATCCCAGCACTCAGAAGGCTGAGGCAGGACAATCACCATAAGTTTGAAGCCAGCCTGGGTTGTATAATGAGTTCGAGGCCAGCCTGAACTACATAGCCTCAGCCGGACCTTGTCTCAAAAATAAATAAAAAATAAACAGAATCACTTAGCAAATAGCATGGTGACTCTGGGTAGTGAATAAATATTTATTGACATAAAATATTTAAGGGAATAGAAAAATGTTTACATCCATCCTTCAAATAGTAAAAGTTGTTTACGAAACAGTACACCCGTGCTCGCTTCTGCCGCACATATACTAAAATTGGAACATACAGAGAAGATGAGCATGGCCCCTGCGCAAGGATGACACGCCAATTCGGAAGCGTTCCATATTTTTTTAATATCCGGCTGTCTTGTTGTAAAGTGCTGTGTTGTTTACATTGTTCTGTTCTGATTTGCATTGTTCTGTCCTCTTTTGTTTTATTCTCCTTAAAATAAAAAAATTTAAAAATAAAGTTCTTAAATAAAAAAGATATTTGTAAAATATATAAAGTAATTTTGCCTTAGTGAAATTTTCAGGTTGTGAAAAGAAAAATTTCACATGTCAGAGAATTATCAAAAAACAAATACCATTTTTCCAATATGATGTTTATTCTCTTTTCATTTAAATAAAAAATAAACTCAAAACAGTATACCCATGAAACCCCAAACTTATCAAAAATATTTTAAATAATTTAATTTAAATAAAAACATTCTAATTCCTACATATGGACAGGAAACACTTGCTTTAAGAATTTATATGAAAATATTAGCAGCTATATTGCTATCAAAATATTAAAGGTATTTTCAGGTTGTGGGTGATGAACACCTTGTTTTTGTGTGTCTGGCGTTTTAATTGGGAGGATCCAGAGACTCAAAAGCTGGCAGTGGTGGCATGCAGGGCTCTCCCACCTTCATCCTACCTGCTGCCCTTCAGAGCTGGCAGGTCCCAGGGCTCCCCTCTGTGGGAAGTGTGGTCAGAGCCAGAGGCTATCCTTATTAACAGCCTCAGTCCCTTTTCCACTGCTATCACACAATACCAGAGACTGGTAGCTTATAGAGGAAGGAAGTTTACGTCCTCTTACACAGGATGTCTGTGTCTAGTGAGAGCCCTGTGCTGCCTCCTAACATAGCAGAAGCTGGGCAGGAAGAGAAGGCACACACTGGGAGAAAGGAGCCAGACTCCCCCAGACAGCCATTCCTGAGGGTCCCTTCATGAGGACTCTGCCCCCAGGACCCGCCCTCTGCCACAAGGCCTTGCCTCCTACTGTGGTTTGTGCTTGCATGGCCCCCTCTAATCTCATGCAGTCTGACCCTGGCTGAATCTAGTGTGTGTGATTGGTTTGTTGTCCAGACCTGGGGTTGGTGGTGTGAGTGCTGTGCCCACCCAGGGGTGGAGCCAGCATGCAATGCAAGGACAGGAAGGAGGAGTGCTTCACCTCTTTTGTCCTTTTTGCTCTTGTTGTTTACCACTGCCATGAAAGCTGCCCCTCAGCCACACCACTCTGCCTTGGAGCCAGCTGAGTATGGACTAAAACCTCCACAAGCTGTAAGAAATAAACCTTCCCTTCCTTCATGTCAGGCATCAGGTATTTTGTCTCAGCAGCAAGAAAAAAGTAACCCAACACCTCCCAACACTGCCACAGGGAAGAATTAAGGCACCAAGCCCCAAGTTTCTGGGAAACACCATGAAGCACAGCAGCCCTTTCGGTGGGCACCTATAACTCTTGGCTGCTAGCAGAAGATGCCATCTACCAGGGCTTCACAGTCTTCGAGTTGCTTCCTGTCTTAGTTACTTTTTACTCATCGCTGAGACAAAATACCTGAAGCCCAAAGTTGGGAAAGGAAAGGTTTATTTCTTACAGTTTTTGGAGGTTTCAGTCCACACTCAGTTGGCTCCAAGACAGGCAGGCATGGCTGGACTGCCATTCATGGCGGCTGCAAACAGCAAGCTCAAACCAGCAAAGAGAAAGACACAACTTCTTCCTGCCTTTACATCACATCCTGGCTCCACCCTTATGTGGGCGGAGCACTGACCCAATCAACCCAAGCACTAGACAATGAACCATCACAAATGAACAATGCAAACTCATGAGTCTTGGGGGACACAAACATACCATGACACTTCCCCTCAGCATCTCTCAGTATGGATTGGCAGAGGGGAATGAGAGCAGCCTGGGTTTCATGGAGGACTTTCCCAAAAAGAGGTGGGAGAATCCAGTGGTCCTCTGAGGATGGAGGGTGAGTTTTCATGTTGGGTGTATTAGTCAGTTCTTCCTCACTGTGACAAAACATCTGACAAAAGCATCTTAAAGGTGGAAAGATTTATTTTGGCTCACAGTTTCAGAGGCTTCAGTCCACAGTCCACTGCTTTCAGGCACGTGGGGAGGCAAAAGCATCATGGCGGAAGGCAGTGATGGAGGAAAGCTGCCATGTCATGGTGGCCAGGAAGCAGAGAGCTGGAAAGAGCCAGAGAGGAAGATTTCAGGGGCAAATATGGCCCCAAGGTCATGAGCCTCGGATATAGTCCCTTCAACTGGGCCTTGTCTCCATCCCCTCCCAATAACGCCATCAAAGTATTAATCCACTACTGAAGTTAGTGCCCTCATGAGACGTTCACTTCCTGAGAGTCCATCAGCAACCAGGATTCAATGCAATGAGCCTCGAGGGGGCCGTGCTAGGTGCAGCCCTAACACAGGGCCTGCGCACAAGGCCTTATATGTCTTCTACCACCAAGATGCATCCTATAGTACAATCAAATATATTTGAAAGTACATTTATTCACCAAAAGCTTTTAAACATATCCTAAAAATATACTGCAAAAAGTTGTTGATGGTCTCAGTGCTGCCCAACTTGCTGGTGTTCAGAATATCCCTTCCCAGTATTTGTTTCCAAAATACTGTATACTATCCTTGGATTCGTATTTCTATCATGGTCTTCAAGAGTCAGCCAACTTTGAATGTCTTTTCTTTTTCATAAGCACTGAGGATTGAACCTGGGGTCTCTACACTACACTAGTTGCTTTGTTTTGTTTTGTTCTGTGTTTTGAGACAAGGTCTTGCTATAATAGCTAAATTGATCAGGTTGACTTGAATTTGGGATCCTCCTGCCTCAGTTTACCGTAGTGCTGAGATTCCAGGTGTGCACCACCATACCCAGCTTATTATGGATTCTTTTTAATTTTATTTTAAAGATAATAAAATCCAACAAGCTGGGTGTGGTGCTGCACCTCTGTAACCCCAGAACTCTGGAGGCTGAGGAAAGAGGATCACTGCAAATTTGAGATCAGCCTGCGCTACAAAGTGAGCTCAAGGCCAGCCTAAACTACACAGCAAGACCCTGTCTCAAAAAGACAAAAAATAACATAAAATCCAACAAAACAAAACAGAACAAAGTCAATCAAAACAAAGCAGCAAAATTGGCACAGAACTTCAAAGAAAAATATTAGGAAAACAACAGTATCTACCGTAGTATATCTTGGTTATCTTCACAATAGTTGTCCATTCCATCAGATATAGCAAAATCAAACCAAAGCAAAACAAAATAAACCAATCAAAACAGAACACTGAATAAAGCAAAACAATCCATTAGAACAAAACAGTGAGAACAATATTGGAATTCAAAGACAGACAGAAGTAAATCCCCATATTTGCTATACCACATACTGTCATCCTCTCAATAGATGCTGAGACTGCCAGCCCCAGGCCTACAAGATCAACCAAACAATACAAGCATTTAGTTGCTTTTTGTACCTCAGTTGCTATCAACTCAGCCGGTCCCCCAAGCCAACCGGTTGTTTTGGGGTCAGGCATTGTGGTTGATTCTCAGCCCGTGTGCAGGCAGGCTCACTAGAGGCGCTGACTTTTCTCTTTGCAGACCCCGCATGGCTTGTGTGGCTTACCAGAAAGGCTGGCTCCCTGTTCAGCTCCTCCAGGTCCCAGCATGGCCAGTCTACTCTGGATTCTTTAGTGTGCACATCCTCTTCATTTTCTAGGTCGATTGCCAAATTCCACTGTAGCTGAAATAGAGCAGCTATAAGAATGTATAAGAATATTACTGAAAGTCGTATTAATTTCTCTTTAAAATGTTTTTAGACAATTCAGTGAGCCAAAATTTAAGAAATTACAAGTGAGTCCAAGCCCTCATCATTTAGCAAGCATGTTGAGTACCTACTAGGGGACAGACCCTGGGGATAACTGATGAATTGGAACGTACATTCTTGGCCAAGTGTGGTAGTGCACACCTGTCATCCCAGGACTCAAGAGGCTGAGGCAGGAGGATCACCGTGAGTTTGAGGCCAGCCTGGGCTACACAGCAGGACCTTGTCTCAAATAAATAAATAATAAACAAACAAACACTCTTGCTATCCCCACCCCAGGAGCTTGGAATGAGGTAGAGGTAACTCCCACCTTCCTCTGGAAGATGTTCCTTTTTCCTTCAATACAGCCATCCTTCTATGCTAAATAATTCATAAATTTTACAGAATTAAAGCTTTCCAAGCATACTGCAGAGGGATCTTGGAGGAGGGTGGTATTTGTTGAAGGTCTGCTTTTCACACGCATCACAAAATCTGTGATGCCAAAGACTATATCTTCTCATTTATAATTTTATCTCCAGCACTGAAATCAGTTATCTGTCACTTAGAAGGCATTCGACAAATCTTGACTGAACCTAGGAAATACTGCCTGGTAAGAGGTAGGTGCTCATTTGTGGGTGGTTAAATAAATGAACAGCCAGGATAGCAGTTAGCGGATAAGGGTAGCGATGGGTTAGTAGTGAATGGGTGGGTGTAAGGTGGGCAGATCAAGGGGTGAGTAGACAGCGGGTGGATGGATGGTTGGATGCATGGGTGGGGTGGCTGATGAGTGGGAGTCTGAATGGGTAGTAGGATGAGTGAACAGGAGGATAATTAGATGAATGACTGGACTGATACATGAGTAGACAGATGATTTAAATGATGGAACCCTCAGTGTGAAGACCTGGGTCCTTGTCAAACTTCAGTCTGTAAAGAAATTTGAGTTTGCTCCAATCGGGAGGAATCTCAGAAACCCGAATGGAGTTTGAATGTGTTCATACCACAGTGTGGGGCATACTGGAGGGGTTTAACAGATCTCTGAACACGTGTGTGAATGAAATAAAATGAATTGATGGGTAGAAGTGGGCTGAGCCATGGAACTTCTTTCTTGATCTTTTACTCTTTTATAATCCATTTTCTTAATTATGAGTAAGGCTAAGGAGAAAAAAGGGGACCACTGAGGCAGAGCATATATCCTCAAAAGCACACTATCATGGAAACCTCTCTCTCTCTCTCTCTCTCTCTCTCTCTCTCTCTCTCTCTCTCTCGTGCACACACACACACACACACACACACACACACACACACACGCCCAGTTCTCAGACATGAGCTGACCCAGACTGCCCTTCCCAGGCTGGCAAACTTGCTCCAGCTGTCCTGCATGTCACCACCTCAACATTCATCTCTGCATCTTTCTCCAAGAACAGCCCTACCTCTCTGTCGTGGCAGTGATACACATCCCAGGACTGACCCTTGACAGCCACAGAAACCCGCCCACCTGTCTCAGAGTGGGACGACCCCACAGGCCGGTGCTGGACCTCACATAGTCCTGCCTCTCCTTGGTTCCTTCCCCTGCCTGACTTGCTGTTCCTATTCTTTTCTTTCTGAAATCCCCCCACTGCTAAAAAGAAAGTCATGGGCACATAACAGGAGGAGCATGACAAGGGAATATATCTACCACATTGGCTGAGAGTAGTCCTGGTTCTTCTTTATGCACAGGCTTTATTTTATGAAATCTATGCAAGACGAAAAGGATCTAAGAGTCAGAAGGCAAAGGGGCACCATAATAAATGGGAAGGTTTAAGTAGCTGGAAAGGAACCAGAAAATGCTTCCAACTCACAGAGCACCCACCTCCCCCATTGCACTTCCGGTCACTGGGGGCTTGGGTGAAAGAGTAGCCATACAGCAGGGAGTAGGCTGCACAGCCCAGAATGGCTATCCTGTGTCGTGCGACCCTAGCAGCACACATGAGCTGATGCCAGGAGCATCTCTTGATCTCGCTGTCTTCAGCCACTCTCTCCAGACTTGGCAAGAACATCTCTCTGTCTTCTGGAAAGTCACCCGCTCCTCCAGATGTGTTCTCATGGCTGGGCACATGACCTAAGCTGAGTGTGCTCATGAGCTTCCCAGACCTGGGCAAAGCAGCTCAAAGGAGAAGAGATGGCTCTTGGGCTCTTGGTTTCAGAGCCTTCAGCCCATGGTTGCCGGGCTGCATTGTGTCCACGTCTGTGAAGAGCCAGGGCATCAAAGCAAGGACGGGGCCAAGGGAAGCCGCTCACCTCATGGTGGTCGGGAAGCAGACAGAAAAGGGACCACGGTCCCACTACACCTTTGATGACACATCTGCAGTGACCACTTCCTCCGGCTGGGCCCACTGCTTCCCAATAGTGTCACCAGCTGAGGACCTGGACTCTTTGAGGGACTTTCCAGACCTAACCGTGTCACTGGGCCACTCAGATGTTTGGTCCTGGGAATGTAAATCTGGAGTACAGAGATCATTTTTTTATGGCCTAGTGACAATCTAACAGAGTCCCACCTGTTACTTTAAGTCCCCACTGGTGCTTAAAGTAACAGAAACCTATTGTCTCACAATTCTGAAGGCTAGAACTCTAAAATCAAGGTATTGTCAGGGCCATGCTCCTCCTAGAACCTGTAAGGGAGACTCCTTTTGCTTTTGACAGAATGTGAATGCCCCTACCCCAAATTTATATTGAAATCTAATCCCTAAGTGAGGATATTTGGAAGTAGAATCACTGTGAAGGATGTTTAATGTGCTGGGCAGTTTTTCCATTTCTGAGCTGCAATCCCCAACACCCACAAATGAAGGAAAGGTTAGGGTTGTCTCACGGTTTCAGGAGATTCAGTCCACAGTCAGATGCTCCAAGGGAGGAGCACCACGGCAGAGGAGTGTGGTGGAACAAAACTGCTTAGTTTGTGGGTGGCAGGGAGCAGGGGAGGGTAATGGTACTAGCCAGGAAGGGATGAGGGATCAGACACAAGACCCAAAATCACACCTTCATGACTGCCCTGACACACCAGACCCACCCACCTCCATGACCCACCCAGACATACTCACCTCCATGTCACTTAATTAATGCCCTTGGTGGCTCTGAAGCCAAGCAAGTGGACAATCCAGTGTAACTGTCATGTTTACTCCCTAGGACAGAGCCCTTTAAATGGCATTAGTGTGCTCATATGAGGAGTCCAGAGACCTAGCTTGTTACCATGTGAAAATACAGCCAAAAGGCAGCAGCTTGAACTCAGAAAACAGACCCCACCAGAACTCAGTCACGCTGGCTCCCTCTACTTTCCAGCCTCTAGAACCATGAGAAATAAATTTCTGTTTTTAAGCCATCTCATTTATACTTTTAATAGCAGCCCAAGTTGGATAAGATACCTTCCTTGTCGCTTGGGATCTGCTGACAATTCTTGGAATTTTGGGGTGTGAATGTATTACTCTAATATCTGCCTCTGTTATCTGAAGGCCAGCTTCTCCCTGAATGTCTGTCTCTTCTCCTAAGAACATCAAGGCCAGTCATGGTGGCACACACCTGTAATCCCAGCACTCAAGAGGCTCAGGAAGGAGGATCACTGTGAACTCAAATCCAGCCTGAACTACACAGCAAAATCCTGTCTAAAAATAAAAAAAATCAATCTCCTGGGCATGGGGATGCATGCCTGTAATCCCATTGTAATCCCAGCACTCAGGAAAAAAAAAATCAATCCTAATGTACTGTAGCTTCCCTACCTAGTATACCTCCCTTGAACAACTTGATTACATTGACAAAGACCTAATTTTCTTTTTCTTTTTCTTTTCCTTTTTTTTTTTTTTTTTTTTTTGGTACCGGGGATCAAACTTGTGACCTTGCATTTGCCAGGCAGCCGCTTGTGCCTCTGAGCTAAATCCCCAGCCCCCAATTTTCAAATAGGAACACATTCACAGGCACTGGGGGTAAGAACTTCAGTCTACTGTCTTTTAGGGGACAACTGAACAGAGTTCTCCAAACACAGCTCCTTCATCTTTAGCCACCCACCACTTGCAACAACAAAACAGAAAAGTGGGAGAAGTTGGGAGCCATTCAAGATAAAAATTAACTCCTCCCGCAGGCCGGCCAGCAGGTTCCCAAAAAACCACAAAAACTGCCAGGGAAGAACCACAAACACAAATGACTCCCGGCCCCAAACATCAGGCCCTTAGGTTGCCATACACCCAGATTACCAGGCAACACAGTGTCACGTGACATTAAGTTGCTAAATATGTAAATAAACACTCTACAGTGAGAGGGCAATTCCTTTCCTCTCATCTGGAGAAAGGGCTCCACCTGACCCCAGCTTTCATCTTTTCTTTATTTCCTCATCCTCTCTCCATCCATCTCCCCCAAAATCTCAAGAGCAAACAGGAAGCCTGGAACCATTCACTGCAAGGAAGATGCCTGAAGGCATTCTGCAGATCCCTGCTGGACCTGGAGCCTGTGCTCTCTAAATCTCCATAGGAGATGCTCCTCCTTCTGCGTCCACACAGCCACCCCACATGTCTCCCACTCTGCATCACTGCCCTCTTGAAACTGAGTCGGTTTATGTTACCAACAACTGTGCTATTTTTAACATGTTGACCCAGTCCTCCAAAACAAGGGTATGCACAAGTCACCCACTGCGACTCCATCACCTCTCCCATTTCCCTTCTCCATCAGCCTCCACGGGGACCATGGCACAAAGAGGCCCAAGGACTCCTTTGTCTTCGTAGATGAAAACAAAACAGGCTTTCTGGTCACCTTTTGTCCAGTGAGGGCACCAAATTCCCTCAATAGCTTAGTCCAAAGAGCTTCGCAGGTTCCCTTATTAGACTGTGGAATCTTTGCCCCAAAGTTATCATGCAGTTACCATGAGTCTTGTAGAGAGGAAAGGAACATGAAAGCCAAACATGGACTGCAGCGCGCTGTACAAGAGGCAGG